ACCTAGCATTTGTTTCCCCCTTGGTTGGTGATGTTTGAGTCAGGCCAGACCTCCACCCTTCTACTACTCCGTCCCACAATATAAGATCGTTTTGCGAGCTGTTTTAGCTTGCAAAACGATCTTATATTACGGGACGGAGTATATTGCAGGTTGAAGACGATAAAATTATGTGCCCCATAATTCATTAGTTGAGGTGAATCAGTCTGTTCTCCTGACGGAGACAATGATGATTGATAACACCAAAAGATCCACCCCTTGCACCTTCAGTTGGTCACTTGACACAGACTGCCAAAGAAGGCTTAATTCCCATTCGAAAAGAGAAGGCTTAATTCTCTGTGACAGAGAATCAGAGGACAGCGAGGAGTAAGCTTGGATGCTGGTCGGAATATTTACCCTTCTAGGAACAGGAGAAATTGGTGTTCAGAAAAGCTTCAAGCTGGCAGAAAAAGTTGCATTGATATTGGAAGAAGCGCAGCCTCTCCTTTCACAGGTACATCCTTCTAACCAATACTCCCTCCGTCCGAAAATACTTGTCATCAAAATGAACAAAAGGGGATGTATGTAGATGTATTTTAGTTCTAGATACATTCCTTTTTGTCCATTTTGATGACAAGTATTTCCGGACGGAGGGAGTACTTTGTAACAGTTTGCAACCTGTGATATAGCTTATGTCATGGAATAGATGTGTCCTAGCTTTATGACCGTTCAAACTCGTTCGTAAGCGTCATCATGCTTTTCTGTGTACATTTGATGGGAGCATACTATATATATGTTCTGTTTGTGGCATATTGAAAATGCTCAGGCAAAACAGATCCAACTTGTCCATACTTCCGTGGAAGGTCATCTCTCTTATCGCATACAGCTGAAGAAGTTCAGCCTTTTTGCTGTCGGAGGTGCGTGATAGTGATCTGGTGAAGGATGCGGAGGCTATAGCTAACGGCCTGGCTGGTGCATCCGGTGATTTTCTGTTGAAGAGCATTACTTGTAATAAATATCCTCATAAATTTGAAATTAAGTAATCCTGGCTAAACTTTCCTCAGATTCTGAAGAGCTAAAACTTTGTGGGAAGAAGTTTTTGAAAATCCTAGCACCTGCTGTTTCTGCTTTTCTCTGCACCTTGGAGTGTGTGCATGAATTGCAAATGTTATGGTAGAAGCTTCACTCTTTGTTTTGCTTACACATACGCTGCCCTGCAGATGGTTGAAGTCTTCAATGCTTACCCCTGAGATTAGTCATCTTGTCAAGCAGTCCATTCTCACCCTTACATTTACTCAGAAGAACATTGAGGTTTGTACTGTATATATTTTTCAGTTATTTCTGAAACTGAAGAGAAGGCTGGCAAGGTTTTGACATGTCTCCTTCCTTACTTTCAGTTTCAGAGTATCAGCTCGGACATCTCTGGTTTCACGGAACATCAAAACTGCTGATCAAGTCCCTTAACAAAGTTGAACAAAACGCAGCTATGTGTCGACAAGTGTCCAAGTGGAAAATTACCGGCAGAGTAGACCCGTCCTGATGAGATTGAAAGTATCTTCTTTTTTTTTGCGGGGAAGATTGAAAGTATCTTAAGAGACGTTTCCCCCGACCATTTGTTCATGTTAGTCAGATCACCTGAGCAAACCCATATTAATTGACTCTCAAGCAGATGTATCTAGCACTAAAATATGTCAAGATACATCCATTTGAGCGTCAATTATAAGACTAAAATACGTCTAGATACATTCATTTGAGCGGCAATTATAAGATACGTGTGAATTATAAGACTAAAATACGTTTAGATACATCCATTTGAGCGTCAATTATAAGATACAGGACGGAGGGAGTACCAAACTGCAGATTTGGGGGAGTACCAAACTGCAGATTTGGCCAATGATGATCGATCCTTGTGGTAAAAGAACAGACTCCTGAAAATACAGAGTCTGAACTCTGCAGATTCATCCTATAGAAGCGTGTCAAATCGGACTTGTGCCATCATCGTGGGATTAGAATCTTATAATCAGCAGTGCCATCATCCACATTCCTTTGATATCAACTCGCTGGCACTCTTTAGCAAGTATTATATCTTCTAGTGGTTGTACTAAAAATATGCTAAAGTACATCTTTTTCATTATTCTCTAAGAGCAACTCTAACTTGCCATCCAAACGGATGTGAAGCGTGTTTGTCCGTTTTTTGTCTGTCTGTTTGGGTCGGCTGGATGATCACTATCCGCTTTTGTCCAACCAGTGCACCCAGCCAGCCGACGCAAATTCCGTTTGCTACATATAGCATATTTAATAAACAAACGACTGACGGCCATGCCACGCCCACAGTTCATGCGGGCGGCCATGCCAGCCTCCAAAAAAACACACGCAGTTCATGCTGGTGCACTTGTCCAGCGGCAAGCATATAAAAAACCATGCCATTTATTGGCTTTGGTAGCCTCGATCTCGAGCTTCTTCGCTTGCATGCCCGCCTTTATCTCTAGCTTCTTCGCATGCATTTCCGCCTCCATCTTGAACTTCTTCGCTTGCATCTTCGCCTTCATCTTGAGCTTCCTTCTCTGTATCTCCATATAGGCCTCCATTTGCTCTTTTTTTAATCTTGCCTCCGCTTTTCTGTTTCCTTTTGGGTCATCATGATTGCAAAGTTTCTTGCAAGGCAATTGACGCCGCATCACGCTTCTCCTCTTTCTTGGAGTTGGTCTTTCCCCGCGCTCGTGGCTTCTCTCCCTCATCATGGTCCTCGATGGCTTGCAGCCCCCCATTCTTCTTGAGGGTGGCATATTGCTCCTTGAATTTCTTGTGCTCTTATGATCATCCAACAATGTGTGACGGTGAACGACTTGTTCCCATGTTGGGCCCGAATGCTTTCAAAGCATGGAATGCCTACGAATGAAGACACGAGTGCATATTCCTATGTGCAATGGACATGCAAGCACGGGAAACGAGAATGAAGATGGTGGAATGTATACCATGTCTTTGATGCCGAGGCCACTCAGGCGGCCCTCGGTGCTCTCAAGGTTGGCACAAAACTTGTTGCACTCTTATTGTATGACCCTCCAATGCTTTGAGAGGGACACCCAACCACGCTTGCTTTGCGTCTTGTACGGCGTGGACTTCTTGCGTTCATGGAATAAACGATGAACTCTCAACAAAAAGGTTGATCCCTTTTGCTCGGCACCGATCTTGGGATCTTGTCCAATATCTCTCCAACATTCACAAAGGAGATTGTCCTCATCCTTTGTGTATGCCTTTGTTCGAATGCTTTGGCGCTTCTTGTTTGCATTGGCTTGGGTGGTGAGATCATCGGCAATCAAAAGCCCCCCCCCCCCCGATGATGAAGAAGCTCAAAATCAAGGTCGTGACATGTGTTGAAGCTGCACCGAAGCAAGACGTGGCATTGAGGGGCCCACCTATTTTTTAAACGGAGGCAAAAGATTTGCCTCGCCTCATTAATTAAGCAGAGAAGAGTATGGATAGTCGGTGACATGGCCACAAAGGCCAGCTGTAACATACACGATTACTCTCCCGGAATAAGGTTCCCTAGGTACTTAGCCCCTGCTCTCACCCATAGTTGTGTCTCTGCCTTGATGGATGAAAATATGTGAGTGGGTAAGGAGGCCTTGTTTTGAAAGATACTTGCATTCCTCTCGTTCCAAATTGCCCAATAAATTAGCATCTTCAGAGAGTTGAGAGCCTTCCTGCTTGCGCCGTTGAGAAGTCCGTTAGCGTCCCACCACCGTTCAACGGATGGAAGATCGGCCCTAGCCATCGTCTGCGACTTGTATCCCTAGTCGATCATGGATCAAATTCCAAATCCTGACCGAGTAGCGACATTTAAACATGAGGTGTGCGGTAGATTCCGGTTCCCGACTAAGGAAATGTAGCTTACGTTCTCATTTTAGCAGTACTTGATTGGAGCTTAAAAAGGCGGGAAACTTATCCCTGGTCTGCAATAAACCTAGACAACTTTTTTTGCTTTCAGAACCTTGTTACTTGCTTGATCTAATTTCATTAATGATAATGGAAGCACCGGGGGTAGGGATGGGGGTGGGGGTGGGGGTGGGGGGTGGCGGGCTTTCTGGGCCCTCCTAATGCTCTAGAAAAGTAAATACATTCCAATTCGGTGTCAATGAAAGAGCCTGTGAGGGTACGTGTTGCCCGATCTATAGGTTTTCTTCCGATCATGCAACCGGTTGGCTATTGATGTGAGTGACGACTTGGACCTCTTCATTCATTTTGTTCCGTGACAAAGTTCGGTTTCTACAACCTTCTGGATTGATGGTGAACGATTGCAAAACTACGTTATCTCAACTAACGTTTGTTCGACGGCTAATGGTATCGCGGTCTTCAAAGGCTTTCTATGGTGACGGGGTCTGCAGATGTCCATATCCCTTCCTACCTATTGAATGTACTTTTAAGCTTCGGTAGACGACGAACAAACAAAGGCAGAAGACAGTTTTTTTTGTCTTATGTTGTCCTTTGATTGTATTGTCTACTATTTTATTTGATAGGTCAAATATGATATGCTCTTCGGGTGTCTTTTCTTAAAAAAGGATATTCCATCATTTATAGTGTTACTAGAAGTTGAGAGGACAAAGTCACTTTTAGGCATCGAATGCGAACCACACTGTGAGCCGGACGTGTGCAAATCAGGCAGTCTCAAATTGAGGGACAAAGTAGGGGAGTCTAGATGCCCGCCATGTTGGCCCGACAGCTTGGCCCCATCTCGCTTTCTAATCATCCTTCCTCACTCTCATACAGTCCACTTCACTCCCAAAACCCTAGTCGGTGCCCCGCCACGATGGGCAAGAAGATGGCGGAGGAGTAGCACCCGCAATCAGATAATGTGGTATCTTAGCGGCTACCGGTCTAATGTGCCATCGCCTCGCCGCGACGGCAGATTTGACGGAAGATCGAGCTCCAATCCACGCCATCATGGAGACACATCACCGTCATGTGCTTGCTTAACGAGCCTTATACCACGCTTGCACCATCCGTCTTCAAGGAGGAGCTCGTTGATGGCATTGACGTCGGTTGGACGGAGCTCAAACGAGAAGGGGACCGCCGCTACGACCCTCGAAGACGCAGGTGGCGCCGCTGCATGTTCTCACAGATCCAGTGCTCACGTAGCATGGGTGCTGGACCAGTCAAAGACGACCAAGGAGTCCGACGCCCGCTGCCAGCACAGAGACACGTCGCCGCCACATGCTGCTCGCCCGCCTGCGGAGCCTCGACGCTACGCTTCGTCGGGCCCCTTGTCTTCCACCGTGCAATCCGTCAAGAAGGAACCCGCAAATAAGGAAGACGACGGCATCGACATCAACTGGGCGGAGGTCGGGGGGAGTAGGACCCGTTGCCCCGGGCCCTGATGACGAAATCCGAGTTCGAGCAACAACTCTGACTAGCGTTTCAGAACTCGGTGCTCGTCCAAGGTCCGCAGCAAGCGTCGTCCCCGTCGCCTCATCCATATCGGACACTCCGTCAAGCAAGAGCGGGTGCGTTCCCCTACAACCTTCCCCTCCGCGGGGCGTCCGCCTGATGTTTGCCGTTCGAAATGCCCTCACCTCGTCTTTGTACAAATTCACTAAATGAGCTTTACAATTTGAACAAACAATCCTCACCCTCCAGATTTTGTCTAGTATTTATATTGCGAATCAACCTGTAGTTGAGTTGGTTAGGTGGACAGTGGTATCCTCAACCCACCAGGGTTCAAATCCTGGTGCTCGCATTATTTCTGGATTTATTTCAGGATATCCGGCGATGCGCTTTCAGTGGGAGGAGACGTTCCCGTCGATGACGAGGCGCCTACGATGACTTCGTAAATTTTAAGATGATATGCCGGCTCAGTCTCTCGGAGGTGCTCATAGGGGTAGGATGTGCGTGCTTGTGTTTATAGGGGTGAGTGTATGCGCGTGTATATGAGTGCTTGTGTCTGTACTGATGCTAAAAAAAACATTTATATTGTTTTTGTTATTAAAATAGAAAAGGACAGATGAACGTTCTCCTGAAAGAGAAATAGATCCTGCCCAGCCCAAGCAACGCAAAAGGCAAAAGCCACCTCCCGCCGCCGTGCTTTCTCCACCAACCCCCATTCCCCCCACATAGGGCCAGCTCCCGCCGCTCGGAGTCGGGATCACGCTCCCCAAATCCCCCACCCTAGCCTCGCTCGCCCCGAAGTCAAACAACAGACAACGCATTTCCTCGAACACCTAGCCTCCCTCCATGGCCACCTCCGCCCTCGCCACCCTCTCGGCCACCGCCGCCGCCGCGGGGGCCAGGCGCGTCCTCCTCTCGCGCGGCCCCTCCTCCCTCTCCTTCGCCTCCCGCCGCCTCGCGTCCGCGGGCCCCCTCCGCGCCGGGCCCCTGCCCCGCGCGGCGACGCGGGCCCTCTCCGCGACCGCGTCCCCGGCCGCCACAACGACCATCGCGGTCGGCGACCGGCTCCCCGACGCGACGCTGTCCTACTTCGACGCCCCCGACGGCGAGCTGAAGACGGTGACGGTCCGCGACCTCACCGCGGGCAAGAAGGTGGTCCTGTTCGCGGTCCCGGGCGCGTTCACGCCCACCTGCACCCAGAAGCACCTCCCGGGGTTCGTGGCCAGGGCCGGGGAGCTCCGCGCCAAGGGGGTGGACACCGTGGCCTGTGTCTCCGTCAACGACGCGTTCGTGATGCGCGCGTGGAAGGAGAGCCTCGGCGTCGGCGACGAGGTGCTGCTGCTGTCGGACGGCAACGGGGAGCTGACGCGCGCCATGGGCGTGGAGCTGGACCTGTCGGACAAGCCGGTGGGGCTCGGCGTCCGGTCGCGCCGCTACGCGCTGCTGGCCGACGACGGCGTGGTCAAGGTGCTCAACCTCGAGGAGGGCGGCGCCTTCACCAACAGCAGCGCCGAGGACATGCTCAAGGCGCTCTGAGGCCTGAACCGCGCCCCCCTCCGCTCTCGCCATGGCCGTCGAGTCGTCGTCGGCTCGGTTCGTCCTCTGTTTCCTGAAGGCCTTTTTTTTTTTTGCTTCGTTTTTCCTGAATGAATAATAATAATCGGTGCGGCAGCGGCGGCCTGTGTTTGCTGCTGCTGTCACCTTGATGTCGTGGCGAGCGCCGAGTAGTGCAGCGTAGCTTTGAGTTGTCATCTTGATGAGATGTGAAGTTTCTGGAGAACTATGAGTCGTGGCCGTGTCGTGGTTTGCAACCTGGCATGGCATGGAATATCAACTTTTGCTTGCTGTTTGCATCGTATCATAATGATTCGTGTTCATACACATCCGTGTCGTGATGGCACGGCTGGAGTACAGTGGCTCCATTTATGCAGGAAAATTAAGGCGGTGATGCGCACCAGCGTTGCTAACAGGTTGATTTGCACGGCCAGTGGACACACAGTGAATTAATTAATGACAAACTATCAAGTAATAGAGTATCTCTTGAATTGTCAGCAAGACTAACGTCAAAACACAGACCAACTTTTCTTTTCTCATCTCCTTTATAACCAGAGAAAAGCAGATAAAGCAAGAATTATCTTGCATTACTCATCCAAAGCATACCATGCGAAAGAAGAGATAACTTGGAGATCCAGTGAAGTTAAGAGCAATAAACCATCTATCAGAATGCGAAGTCGTTACAGATTAACCAGCGAGGTTGTAGAGAAGCCCTGATCATGCTTTTACACCAACCTAGCATAGACGAAGCCAGAAAACAGAGAGTAGCATTGTTGACGCACCGAGCAGTGAGCATTAATTATGGTACTAAAAATGACTTGTATGTAAAAGAGATGGCCCTAGCAAATTTGCAGGCTAACCGGAGATTCAACCTCGTCCCATAATATACGATCTTATTGCATCCAATTTGGCTCGGAGGGAGTGTCTAAGTAGTACCCCCGTCCCATAATATAAGAGCGCTTTGACACTAGTAGCTGATAGTGAAGTAATTCTCGACTAATCATGGGAGTTTTAGAGATGCAAATCAGCTAACAGAACAGATAAAACGAGTCTCCTTCAGATTACCCCTAGAATAGCTGTAGTATACTCCCTTCGTTTTTATTTACTCCGCATATTAGAGTTGACTGAAGTCAAACTTTGTAAAGTTTGACTAAATTTATAAAAAAGAATATAAATAATTAGCATAACAAATCTATATGATGTGGAAGTACATTCAACAACGGATTTAATGGTATTGATTTGTTATTGTATATATTAATATTTTTGTTTATAAACTTTGTTAAAGTTTGTAAAGCTTGACTTTGACCAAAACTAATATGCGGAGTAAATAAAAACGGAGGTAGTACCTAATAGCCTAAGTCTAGAGAACAAGAACTGCCATTGCTAAAACTACTTGATGACAGAAATCCTGGGAACACCAACCACCATTCGTAGAACACTAGGTAAGCATCACGGAACCAAGGCGCTGAGCATAGAGATCAACTCCTTCATGATAGCAGGGCAGCTTTGGCTCAGATGCTCAAAGCCGTCACTGGCCATGGCCGCCTTCAGATTCGCCTGAGAGCTGAGAAAATCGAAGCATGCCTTCTTCAGTCCACTGCAGTGGTGTTGCTCAGCCAACACCAAGATTGTGGCCACAGTGCTCACTTGGATGCACCTGCAAAGTTTGTCTTCGCAGATCAGCTTTAGCCTGTCCAGATTATACCTGTCGGCTGCGACGAGCAGATGCTGAGACATGGCTTCTTCCCCTGCTTCTTCCCTCTTCATCTCCGGCAAGGTGTCGGTGTACACAAAATAGAGCAATGCCTTGAACACCTGCGCGTCCATGTCATCTATTTTGACGACAGCCGATGTGTCGACGCTCTCCTTCATCTCGCCAAAGAGTTCCGCACTGAACACCGGCGACCGGGCCGCGATCAGGCAGCGGTGCGCGGCGAAGGTCTCGCCTCCGGCCTCGAACACCACATCGGCGCCCTTCTCTGCGAGGAGAAGGTTACCCAGGTGCAGGTGCAGGTCGGACGGCGGCACGGTGACGAATGCCGGAGCGGCAGGCTCAGGCGTCTCCACCGCGCGGAAGTCGCTGACGACGATGAGGTCGCACCGGACGGCGAAGGAGTCCCCCCTGAGATGCTTCGATTTCTCCAGGGCCTCCCCTCGGATGAACTTGGAGTTCCCCCAGCTCGCCAGGCCGGCGAAGTTGTTCAGCGGCTCCGCCTCCAACGGCAGCGCCTGATTCTCCGCCTCGCCGGCGAAGCGGAACTGGTGCTGCGCCCTCACCGTCCTGGAGGTATTTTCGGCGAGGATGAGGCGGAGGGATATGTAGCCGGCGTTCTCCGCCTGGTCGCCATTGGGGTAGTAGAGGACGAGCCAGCGGTGGCCTCCCACGGTGAAAGGGCAGGACTTGAGGGACTCGCCTGTGGGGATGCCCTTGGTGCGCGAGTAGAGGTCGATCGTGAAGTGGTGGGATCCGGTCGCCGTGTCGGCGGCAAGGGCGGAGGCGGACCGCGATGGCTTGCCGCCGGCAGCGGTTGACGACATGGCGAGTGGGGGATTGGGGTTCTGCCGCTCTGGTGCGGTAGGGTTAAGGGCAGGGAAGCAATATAAATCGCTCGTGCGAACGGAAGTATAAGGTGCTTACTCGGTCGGCCCAATTGTCAACTTTCTTTTAAGGTTCATTTGACAACTTGACCGCGTCATTCATACTCCTCGTAGGGAAAATGTTCGTTGGACTAACCGGGTAGCAAAAAGGGTAGAAAATGCAGAAACGAATAATTTTTGCAAACGTTTTCTTTTATAATCAGTTAATCATTGACTTTATTAAACAACCATAGAGACTGGAAAATGAACACGAATATGCAGCGATGTAGAAGCCACACTCGGGCCGTCTACATTATGAAATTTCTAGGCGTGAAGCACCCAAAACGGACATAATATATTTCTGCGGACGCGGACAATGATATGGAGTCGGACATCCAACACTAGCCTCAAACACCTCCGTGCACAATACAAACAAAATTAAACTAGACGGACAAATATCATACAAACATGGCAGAATTCATGTAAAATGGACATAAACTTTGATGTAATTTATAAAATCGGATGATATTTTGTCCATTTGACTAAACTTAAAAAGACTAAACTAATTTATAGCGGATGGTGACCTTGTATGCCTGGTCGGGATGGCCGGCGGAACCTCCGTTGCCGTCCATGTCATCGTTATTGTCGGAGTCATTGTCGATGTCCTCCCCATGACGGAAGGGCGTGGGGGTGCATGTGACATCCCGACATGTATGTGTGATACGTCCATTTTACATTATGTTTTCTACTGTTATTTATGTTATTTTATTGTATAATAATGCTTTTTGAGTAATTCTAATGTCTTTTTTCTCATAATATGCAAGGTATGTACCAAGGGAAGAATTCTGGCAATTGAAAATCTGGACCTGAAAAAGCTACGTCAAGCTACCTATTCTGCACAACTCCAAATGAGCTGAACTTCCCGAGGATTTTTTATGGAATATTTAAGAATTATTAGAGCAAATAAGTGCGAGAGAAGGACTTTCGGGACGAAGAGTCGCCGCCTCGAGGCGAAAATTGGGCAGGAGCACTTTTTCCCTCCGGCGGAGCGATTCCGCCGGGGGAACTCCCCTCCCGGAGGGGAAAATCATCGTCATCATCACCACCAACAACTCTCTCATTTTGGGGATGGCTATCTTCATCAACATCTTCACAGCACCAATTCCTCTCAAACCCTAGTTCATCTCTTGTGTTCGATGTTTGTATCAAAACTATAGATTGGTGCTTGTGGGTGACTAGTAGTGTTGATTACATCTTGTCGTTGATTACTATATGTTTTATTTGGTGGAAGATTATATGTTCATATCCATTATGCTATTTAATACCCCTCTGATATTGAGCATTTTATCATTTGTGAGTAGTTACATTCGTTCTTGAGGTCACGTGAGAAATCATGTTGCAAGTAATCATGTGAACTTGATATGTGTTCGATATTTTGATGATATGTATGTTGTCATTCTCTTAGTGGTGTCATGTGAACATCGACTACATGACACTTCACCACATTTGGGCCTAATGGAATGCATTGTGGAGTAGTTATTAGATGGTGGGTTGCGAGAGTGATAGAAGCTTAAACCCCAGTTTATGCGCTATTCCGTAAGGGACCGATCGGATCCAAAAGTTTAATGCCATGGTTAGAATTTATTCTTAATACTTTTCTTGTATTTGCAGATGCTCGCGGAGGGTTAATCATAAGTAGGAGGTTTGTTCAAGTAAGAACAACACCTAGGCACCGATCCACCCACATATCAAATTATCAAAGTACCGAACACGAATTAAGCCAATATGATGAAAGTGACTAGATGAAATTCCCGTGTACCCTCAAGAATACTTTGCTTATCATAAGAAACCGTTTTGGCCTGACCTTTGCCTCAAAAGGATTGGGCTACCTTGCTGCACTTTTTTTACTACTACCGTTACTTTCTCGTTACAAATTATCTTGCTATCAAACTACTCTGCTACTTACAATTTTAGCACCTGCAGACATTACCTTGCTGAAAACCACTTGTCATTTCCTTCCGCTCCTTGTTAGGTTCGACACTCTTACTTATCAAATAGGCTACACTTGACCCCATACACTTGTGGGTCATCAAGGCTAATTTCTGGCGCCGTTGCCGGGGAGTGAAGGGCTCTTGATAAGTGGAAATGGTAAGGAAACATTGTTACTACGTGCTGAAATTTATTATCACTTTCTACTACGGAAAACAATCCTTTGAGGGGTTTGTTCGGGGTATCTTCACCTCGACCGGAACCACAATTAGTTGACCTACTGCCCCTACTGAAAATATTGAATATGAAATTCCTTCGGGTATGTTAGAACAACTGCTAGCTAATCCTTATGCAGGAGATGGAACCGAACATCCTGATATGCACTTGATATATGTGGATGAAATTTGTGGATTGTT